TTCAAAAATTGTTTTGGTTAAAAAATTCAAAATATGATTTTTCACAAGTTTAAAACCCGGTTTTCGATTCTAAAACCTAACTTTTTTACAAAACAAATGTCAAATTCGTAATCAGCGTTAAAAACTGCATCTAGTAACTCATTCAGATTTGTCCAACTCGAAAAAAAAATTTTTCGAAACTTGATCAGCGAAGTGTCGCTTTACGTGGACAAGCCGAATATATAACCATATAACTACTACTTTCAAAAATGCTAGTTACATCCTTCATCAGTCTTATTTCACCTTCAATAAGAACAGAAGTGAGAATATATATATCGTGTAATTCTATTTAAATAAGAAAACAAAAACAAATTTGAATTTACAATGAAGGAAAATAGCGATAAACAACTTTCGGAAAATCTATTAAATTTTTAACAATTAATCGTTTCACTTTAGCACAATTTCGTCGCGTCGCATCTCTTGTAAAATTCTCTGTTACATTTTTCAATTGATCAAATTGAACTACTAATTCGGTTAAACATGGTAGACGTGTTTTTGATTCATTGAGAAACTGATCAACATAATCAATATTTACAAAATCGATGTCAAGTGAAATCAGATGAGAATATTCAACAATTGAACATGAATGGTCATTAACTGAAGAAGATTCACAAAAGCTCCACAATGGAGATCGAATATTTCTAACAAACAAATATTTAAGTGATGGAAACGATTGTGTAATTCGAATGAAAAATTCAGGTTTGAATGGAAGAGTATCTAATAACTTCAAATGAGTTACAGAACTGAATATAATAGGTGGAAAATTGTTCGTGATCCATTGGAGACAATGAAATAGAAATGGAAGAGAGAAAACATGACACGCGGCCTTGTAACTACCAAAATAATCTACTATAGAAATCACTTGACTATGATTTATATATGAAAACGTTCGTTGGATATCATCGTTACATAGGCGATGAATTGGACCATTGATCTCATTTGTTGTATTAATATAAAAAGTAAGTTTATCAAGTCGCGGCATATAAATTAGAATTTCCTTATGCAGATGAATACCATCGACGAATGTAGGTCGATTTAAGATATAAACATGCAATGTTAGTTCTTCAAGATGTGACATACGACGAAGAAGAGGTACAACTAAATTGTCATATAAACCAGTTGCATTATAGCATATTAATGAAAAACATTTCAAATTAGGTAGATCATCCTACAAATTAAAAAGAAATGTCTATAGAACAGTATATCTATACCGATTTAACTAAAAGATAAATTTAGACAAAAATAAAATAATATGTTTCATAGGTTTTATTAATTCTCTCTTTAAATGTCCATTTGTATTCTATAAATTACGTATTAGCTAATAATCACGATTAAGATAATAACTTCTTACTGCTTAAGTTCTTAATATGTATAAGACTAATCAATAATTTGACAAAAGCATAAAATACAATATAATGAATTTTCTCAACATGTTTAAAATCTTCAGACAAAATTTGCTATATAGGTTTCTCTAAAATAAATTACTTGAATGAATAAATATCAGAGATGGAGAACTTCGAGTATGTGCTAGTCTTCAGCTCCACAAAATTCCACTTCAATTTTCCAAACTCAGAAAAGAACTTCAATTTAAAATTTTTCTTGACAATTCTTATTCATGATCCCAAATAATAATAGTAACACAATCATAAACTTACCATGTTGTAAGATATCGATGGCATATCATAGATAAAATCAATTTCAACAATAAATATAATTAATTGTTTGAGACGACCATCTAGTAAAGCCAGACAATCATCAAAATGAAGCACATTAATACATAATTTAGTAAGTGTTGAAGAAGAAAATGTACTCGATGACAAATCTCTCAGTGACAAAGGTAGATGATTATTGATGGACAATGGCGCAATCGACAAATGCTTGAGATTTTTGAAGAAAATCAAAATAATTGCATAAACATTCATGGTATAATTCTTGCATAGTATTCCAAAATTGTTCTCGTTACCAATAAGACTAAGGTCCGTAATTTGTTTACAAATATGTTGAAAGACAGAATCGTCTAAACAAAAAACAAACACATAGATATTGCATAATCTTTACTTTTGAATATGTTTTATATCTCAACTTTTGAACAAAGATCAATATATGTGTGAATTCATCACCTTTGAAATAACGTGACATGATTTCTTTATTGAAATTGAAAATTTTAAGTTGAGTAAGATTAGGATATTCAGCAACAAGAAGAATACGTTCTATAGAAACTGATTCGAGAATGAGACATTTCACATTATGATGAATTTGAGGTAATATTTCAAAACAAAATCTATCAAGTTTTCGATTAGAAATTGAACAATTATCTTTAGTTGATAATATGGAAACAAAATTAAGAATGTTTGTGAAGATTTTATCTTGTGCTATAATATGAAGTCGTTGATTATTGTTATCAAGTAGAGAGTAAAGAACATCCATATTATTGAGTTTTTTCAAAATATTAAATAATATCTCATTTGGTAAATCAAGAAGATTAATATCACGTTGACTCATAGTGAATCGTTGTTCTGATGCTTTTCTTGACACAATATATATGTATATGTTTATCGAATGGCATAGAAAATGTCGAAAAAAAAAATGTCGAAAGTAAAAACGTCGAAAAAAAAACGTCGAAAAAGAAAATGTCGAAACAAAAAATGCCGAAATAAAAAAGGTCGAAAAAAAAA